GGGGGCCACTGACGCGGCGATGTGAGACCCAAAAAAGGAGATGCACCACCATGATGGCCGCCATCGCCTCCTTTGGGGACGGGTTCGGGATGTGAGATCAAGCGCTACAGTACCATCTAACGGAAGGCGGGTGCAAGATTCGAACGTAGCCACCCTCGCCTTGTGAGGGGACGAGCTTAAGATATGGGAGCAGCTGTGTCCCTGCAAACCTTCAGTGACATTTCCCCTTCGAAGTTTCAAGCTTTCGAACTCGGAAAACTTTAAACTTGGAGCTCAGCTCATCGTCGAACCTGCGACTTCGGCGCATTTAAACCTTCAAAGTTTGACACCTCCAACCTTCGAACACTCAATCTTTCCAACTTTCGGATGCTCAAACTTTCAGAAATCCCAAGCTCTGAAGTTTGAACCTTTGGAAGTGTCAAGCTCTGGACCTCAACGGCGAGCCGAGAGCCGACTTTGAAGCCGACATTTGAAACTCGAAGCTCGCGAATTTGCAGCTTTCGATCTGTCAAGCAAAAAAACTTTCGAAGCTTTAAAACCCTGGAATGTTCGATCTTTCGAGCTTTCGAACTTTGAGAGGCGATGGAACTCGACCACGGCCGAAGGTTGCAGCTTGAGTTCGAGCAGGGAGTGGAACTCAAGGCTCGCAGTTTGGGAGTTTCAATAGTTGTTGTTCGATGTTTTGAGAGTTTCAAAAGTTCGAGTTTGACACACGCTCGCTCACACGCACCAAGGTGCCCACACTGTCGAACTCCTGCAAATTGAAACATCTTCGAAGCTTGGAACTTTGACAGGTCCAACCCAGCCTGCCAACTCTCGAACTTTCGACCTCGCTCGGCTCGAGACGGGTTGCGTGGAGAGCGGGGTGGGAGGGTGGGAGCGGGAGGGGGGGAGGGATGGTGACCACCACAGTGCTCAGTGTGCTATTGGACGTGAAAGGCCACTCCAACATTGCAGCGCAAAAAGCTGCAAAAGGAACTCAAACCATATCATGTACCTAGGGTAGTCAAGAGGAAGACATTCCTGGTTGAGCAGCTATGTTGTTCCAAGCTTGCGGTCATGTCATTAGTAAGCTTCAATGTAGTGGTCACCAACTTCCCACCTTTCATGGGAACAGGAACACTTTTGAAACGTCACTCGTGGAAACTAAATGTCATTTCTGTGCGGACGGGACTTTGGAACATGCCCGTCCGCAGTGGTTGGTTTTGCTTAAAAATCAAAGCCCGGCGACTATAGCTTATCGGCTGGGCGGTTTCGCGGTTCTTTATGTCAGGCGGGCCGACTGCATAAGTATATGTTTTTTTTGCCTGAAAAAAGTTAACATCTTATCGCCTGCGGACTGATATATAAAAATTCGGGAGCTGAAACCTAGTAAGTCGTATAATGATAGGGACTACAACTTACTATTCCGGAGGACTGGAAATTGATGATGGAAGCTGCCGAAGCTGGCACTGACACAGTTGTCGCGACATTTCTTTTTTATCACCACACAGTCCACATCAAGCTCAAGATGGTGAAACCGGAATCGTGGTGCAGTGCCGTACAAGCCGGGAAGTCTGGGTCCGTGACCGTCATGACGTCTAAACTAGCTAACAAAGGAATCGAATCACATCTGCATGCTGAATTTGGCATGGCATGAACTAAGTTTTCAGAGACTTCTTGGGACCCAGATTCAAAAACATGCATGGTGGAAGTGATACCGCACGGATACCACTATATGACATGAATCTAACATACAGCCGTCGAATCGTTACAAGAAGTCCGAGACTCCGAATGACATGTAAGGCTGCAGCTACAGCACAAACGATTCAATCCGTTTCAGCTCTCATGAATGACATGCAAGCAAGCCCTGCAGCAAACGGTTGTTGGCTTCGATATGCAGGCACTATGCAAGGATATGTTGCAGGCTTGAGGCATGCAGTGCATGCAGGCACAGTGAACTGCAAGAGACAAGTTCATCGACAAGTGCATGATTCGAGGCAAAACCTAAAGGACCCAAATCCCAAAACCGTAACTTCCAATTCTGATCACTTCAACTCCAAACGCAACGTCATGAACTCGCGAATCCAAATTCGAGAAATTCAGCGGAGCAAATGCATGCACATCTTGGGTGGAGGTGCAAGAACAAACCACAGATCATCTGCGGCTGTCTCAATGCGACTCTGCTGCTGCAAGCTTGCCGGCGAAAGCAGCACCACCCAGCCGCAGCTGAGTCGATGCAACACTTCCTGTTGCAGATGCCTTTCGCCCAGCACCTTTAGCATCGGCAGTTTCGCCTGGAAAATTCGAGCGAGTGCACAACACCTCCTCACTGGCTGCATCTTTGCTTGCTTTACCGTGCTTACGTACCAAGGCCGCCAATGCCTTGCAAAATCATGGCCGCACACGAATTAATTGGCAATAAATAAGTGGCACTCATGAGCTCATGACTGAAGCACTCAAGGACATGGACATGGCTGGGATCAGACTGGACTCCAAAATTAATTCAGCAATCAAGCGATTCAAGATTCAAGCCGAATCAAGCACTGATCATGATCATGCCATTCATGCATGCCAGCACCCAACACACTCCGACTCCACATGCATGCCGCATGCCTTCATCTGAAGCTGTGCCCGATGCTCCGTGATAACGACCGTTCGGTTATGCCCGTGCCTGAGCCAGGAAACGTTTCCGTGGTCACAGTGATGTTGCTTTCGCACGTGCATGCCGAAATGCGATTCTGTGCGACTAAGTTCCGGACGCATCTGGAAATTCTAGTGTCACTTCTTCGGATCGAGCAGCAAACAAAGCTTTATCCTGGGCATAGCCGCTCTTCATCATCCAAATGGCATTGGGGGCAGCACTGGTGGTCTTGTTGAAGTTGTCGCCCTGCATGTAATAGCTGACAGGCCCATCGTCAAATATGGCTTCAGCCACCTGTGGGAAGTGCAATGCATGCTTGCATTATTTAAGTACCCTTCGCCGCCCTTCGTGTGCCCATGGCCACGACTCCATAAAGTCCATGATGACTCAATCAAAAAATTAAGAACCAAGAATCACACATTGGCAAACACATGACATGTCATGACATGGCTGACATGGCCATCATGATGCATCATGGGAACCGATTCAACCGATTATGATACTACTAGCACAAATTTTAACCCTGCAGTGCTGCAACCTTCACACACTTGGCCGTCTGCTCTGGGGTGACATGGCCATGCATGTACAAGACTGTCCTCTGGTCATCGTCACTTTCCACTCCGCTCAAGGTGTTGGAAGCTTCAAGAACATTGATCATCAGCTGCGATTTCAAGTCCACTTGGAGCAAACCGAGCAAGATGGAACTGGACCCTTGCCTCGACTGCACACGGCACGGCACTGTCTGCGAAACATTTAAAACAACACATGAAAGAACAACATGGCACCGAGTCTCGCAGACTTCTGCAACATGTGTGTTTGCACATGCTGTCCGATAGCCAACACATCCAGCACATTCAAGGACTTGACACTTGGAAGGTTGTGCATGTTGTAGATGCTAGCCAGCGTCGGAGTTTTATTCAATAGCTCAACTGGCTGAGTCGATGCCGAAGCCTGGGGATGTGCTGCTGCTGATGCTGATGCTGCCTCTTCTTTCACGGCTTCTGCGGTTTCTGCTTCATGGCTACCAGTACCAGTACCAGCACTTGTCGTGGTCGGAGTCGTGCCTTTGTTCAAGAAACTGTCTGCCAGCGACTTCGTGGAAAACAGCTTCGTTGGGCTTGGCAAAAAATTCCCCCACGTTTTTGGATCAGCAGGAGGCTCAATCTGTTTTTCTTCGGTGCCCTTGTGGTCTTTTCCAAGCTTTGTTGTCTGAGTCTTGGCACGTTTGGCTTCTGGCTGCTCGGCTCCGGCATCACCCTGACGGCTTCGACCGCAATTCTTCGCCTGGGCCCGCAGAGCATCGAACAGAATCTTCGACCAAGTCGAGCACCATAACGAAACAGGCCCAGAGCCCGGACTCGCATCGTCAGCGGATTTAGAGGATCCCTTGGCCTTGTGAGAATTCTGGGCGAAATGGCAGCGGCTTTCGACTTCCATGACATACGACTTGCCGTCTTTGCTCAACAAGTAATCGAGGAGGGAAGCAAAGGCAGGCAAACACTGCACGTCCGATACAGTGACGAAGGCCTGAGGTTCCAATGGCTTCTCAATTATCTGCCTCAAAGCCAACAGCATGTAAAGTGCTCGGCAAACAATCATGCCCTCGATCGCTTGCTCGTTGAAAATGAACTCGCCATGCTCATTCTCAATCAACACAAACCTTGCATGCTTACCCACTACCTCTGCCGGTGTTTGCACCTTCTCGTCGGGCTTCGCGGATGCATGAATGGCAACAGCACCAAGTGCTGCCAGGCCAACCCGAAGTACCGAGGAAGGCACGGACTCCTCGCCAGCCTCAGCCCTCAAACACTCGGTGACACCCCAAACCAAGTCTTGGATGCTGTGTTCCGACTCATCATGAAAGCTACAGGGATCGGCGGAACTGGCATTGCAGGTACAGGTCACATCTTTCAAGATTGCACGAAAGCGGCGGAAGGCAGGGTGGGATTCAATTGGGCCTGTGTTCTTGCTAAGAAAGACACCGGCATCCTCGACAGTCACTTTGCAAGAACACAACACAAAACGGACCCATGCTCTGATGTCGCTGACATCTTCTTCGCTGCCTGTCTCTGCAGTCTGGTTCTCCAATGCAGCCTTCTCTTCGGAAACACGAGTAAACAAATGGCCCACCATGGAATCGTCTGCAGAGGTAGATGTGGCGGGTGAGGTAGCGGAATCACGGGACTTCTTGATGACGGCTCTCATCAAGCTCTGCAAGTGCGGTCTGACCTCTGGCAGAAGAGAACAGTAAACGAGTCAACCACAAACATAGTTGAATTTAGTTGGCTGATTGAAACTCTGCTGTGTCTGCAAGACATTTCACTGCACAGACTCAACACGAAAGAGCATGCCTCAAGCTCGCATGATTGAGCATGTCCAAAGAGTCAAGTGTGACAGGTCAACCCAAACGTGTAGCATTAACATTTATGAGCCACGTGATATGCATAGGCGGCATGCTGCACCGCTGATTGCTAGATCATAAAGTTCACGGCACAGACTCAACAAGAATCATGAAGGCAAACTGTCAAGGCCAGCTCATGGTGTGATCATGCTCAAACTCAACATGACTCAGCATGCTAAAAGACTCAGGAGTCAGGAGTCAAGGGCCAAGACGGTCAAGAGTCATGGATTCAGTGGAACATGGCAATGCATGGTCCTGCTGAATGCTGATGCACTGACTGCACATGCAGTTCATCTCGTTCGAAAGCTGAGATTCATGTGCTCACGACATGAATAATGCTGGATGCAGTGGATGCCGCCTTGGACCAGTCCTTGAAGATCTTGTTGTTCAGCTCGAGCTTGCCCGTCAAAGCGAATTCGAGGGCATAACTTATCAGCATCCGAGTCAACTGGCCGGCGGGACTGTTCCATGGGTAAGTTAGTGGCTTCCCATAGTTCGCCGTGATCAATGCTCCAAGGAGATCGTCTAGCCATCGCCGTGGACGTGTGCCTTCTTCAAACTCGACAGGCCCTTGAAGGGTTGTGCTGGATTCCAGCATGTCATCCTCGCCCTGTGCTTTCCTCTTGCCTGACTTTGCCTTTGCTTTGCTCTTTGCCTTGCCCTTGGCTTGCTTCTTTTCCGGCTCATCGTCGAGCAGGGCTGGCTTCACTTTGCTGGGCTTTGTGTCTGGAGCCTGCTTCTGCCCCAGCTTGGAAACAAAGGGAGCACCGGCAACCGCTGTGAAAAGTTTCATATCCACCTCCTGCATTTCTTTCGAGTCGGGCCCCTTCGTGAGCAGCCAAGGATAGACTGGGTAGACTCGGGAATTATCATTTGGCGGCAACAACGGAACCTGGGTATCGCCCAAAACACAAATCAAATCGAGGAGGCGGCTCAAACTCAAACAGCTCAATTGCAGTACTTTCAAATGCAGCAATCGCGAGTACATGAGTACATTTATCTCAGCCTCTGACGATGAACTTGCACATCTCGATCAGCAACAGGCCTTGATGCTCAGCAGACTGGCCAGGCAGATTCGTTTCGATCATAGTGCCGATGCTGTTCATGCAAAGCAAAGCTCGATCGTGCTTGTCGACCATCTGTGGTGATAAGAAATCCGTCTCGGAGGCGAACACTGTTTCCCATTCGTCCAAAATCTTCATGGTAATCAGCTTGCTTCGCAACGCCTTTGCTGTTTTGAAGCTGTTCCCGTTGAAACGTTCCTGCTGCATGTGAAGATCCTACTGCGATCCCAGAACTAGAAGCAGCCAGCAAGCAAGAGGAATGTGACTTCAAGTCAACACAACACTGCACTGCTACGTGGCCACCGTGCGACGTGCGACACATGCACAGTCCACATCAACCTCAATGTCGCAAACGTCACATGAGTCACATGTCAAATCACTACATTGCAATTGCACTGCAACTACTACAAGCAGCCGGCAAAAGCAACACCTATGCAACACTGTCGCCGCCGCCATGTGGCCATGCCATGACATGCGACCATGCAACACATCCATGTCACTTCAACTACACAGCACTGCATCCGATGCATGTTGCTGCAGGTCATGTCCTTGAACTCGCTGTTCTCAATCCACTCCGTCAGATCCTTTCTGTCAGAAGATCTCGTGGAGATCCCACGGCGTTCTTTGTAAAGTCTTTGTACGATTTCCAGGCCTGCAGTCGACTTGAGGCGTCAACCCTCGCAAACGGGCAAATCGGCAACTCGTAGCAGACTCGAACTGCCCGTGCCGAAACCGTGCCTCGTCCAATTCCTTGACCCCAACCAGCTTCTCATGGAAATTGATGCCGGAACCGCCGTGAAAGGAATTGTTGATGTCTTTGAGGAACCTGACATGTTTCCAAGCAATAAACAGATCAACAGAATCAACCAACCTGGCTATCTTGTCACAAGGAAGACATGCAGATCACAATGTCAGAGTTTATTGTCAAAGGGCTAAGCAAACATGAACCAAGAAACATCAGACACAGGCTCGGCCTCATGGGCTTCTCCTTCCACACGTCTCTTCGCCATGACACAGAGTGATGTACAATGTAGGGATAGGGAAGCTCCTGATAGCTGCAGCGGTGCGGCTGAGGTCCCCGATACAATCCGCCCAACCAATGCGACAAACAAGTGCAAATGCAATGCAAGCAAGAGTGCAATCCGCATTCAACTCAGTACAGCGCAAGCTGCCAAATGGAACACAACCACACACAGCAGTGCAAGCAAATCAGTGCATTCAGTCAATCCATGCATTCAAGCCACAAGCATCCAGGGCTGGCAGACTGACGGCCGGCCCAAGCCGCTGTCAAAGCCTCGCTGCTCAGCATTCGTGATCACATCTGGAACTGTCACATTTCAACTGTCCGACTGCTGCAACATGACATCACCTTTCCATGCTAAGTGACACTGCTCAAGGGAGGTGTCACACAGCTAGGGCCACTGCCGCCACTGAAGCGACTCCGAATCATCCACTGTTCATGGGCAAGCAACTACTGGCAACCAATGCACCCACAAAGACACACAACTGCAAGACTCGACCAATCACATCATGTTGCATCAAGTCAATTCAAGACAACTCTTTTTCATCATGCATTGCATGATCCATGCATGTCGGCACATGCGGCACATGGCTCCGATTCCGGCAATGCTGAACAGTGAGCAGCATCGGAAAAGCTCGATCAGCAATTGCAGTGGCAGACGCTGTGATGCTCGAAACAAAAAGGACAGCGAAGTCCTGACCTCACTAGAAGCTTCGCACAGGCTCTCGATCCTCGACGAGGCCTGTGTTCCCCCTCTGCGGTCATTGTCAATGCCACGGTCCGTGAAGCGAAGCTTGCCGGCTCCACTGGCTCGTCCCAAGTGAAGCCGAAATCGTCCTCTCCAGCTTCAGCCTCCTCAGCCTCCTCGTTGCCGCCCCCGTGCCCCGATCCTGTGGCGTCGTGACTGCCGTGCAGATCTGTCGGCCTGGTGTCCAAATGCGGTGCCGCACTCGGTTTCGCTGCACCTCTCACCCTTTTCCTGTTCCTGCTAAGAGCAACAACCTCCTGCTCCGGCGGTTCCGCGAAGTCTGAAGCTGGAGCCGTGCTGGGCCTCGGTGTGGGACCGGAAGACGACGACGCAGGCTCGGCACTGCGGCGAACAATGCTCAGCAGGACTCGTATTGGTGTGCCAGGGTTTCTTGAAGGACCACTAGGACCACCACCGTAACTGTCACTGCAGACATCGGAGACGTCATCAGTCGACATGCTGTGCCAAAGAGCGGCGGAAGCTACCTGGACGATTCCCGAGCCACAACTGTCCTGGACCCCCAAACGAATGCATCGCTCAACAACATGTGCCATCCTGCAGTGACTCATGCAGCACTCATGGACTCATGCAATGCACTGCCGCAACCAGACCAGAACTTGCAAAGGTGTGAACTCAGCGGAGAACAATGCAACAATGCAGCTGAAAGCCTATAAACTCAACATGATATGCCATGAACGTCTCAATGTGGCTACAAGATGCAGCAATGCAGCAAATGTTCACTCCCACAATGCAACATCTCTGAGTCCACTGAAACCAAAGACGAATGGCAACTTGCAACCTGAATGTGACTCCAAGACACATGAAGCATCAAGTCCAAATCATCCAGTCTTCCTGGGCAAGCAAACAGGCACACACAGACACGGATACACAACTGCAACACTGCAAGACTCACCATGCATGCGGGCAAACCTATCACATCGTGTCACATCAAGTCAACTCTTCAGCTACTGCATGCAATGCCGCAAAGCCTGTATCAACATGGGTACAAGTACAAGATGATGCAATGCAGCACATTTTCACTCCGACGATTCCGACGATGTCCGAGGTTTCCTGCCCCTGACTGTGCAATGGAGAACACTGGAGAACACCACCGGAATAAGGATCCGAGATGTATGCCGTCGTGTAGAGTACCGGAGGCAGGTGCCCCAGAGCACACAAAAAAAACCATGGTCATGGAACTGGTCGTTCGGCCCTCATCCAAGCCTTGGGGGTTCAGAATCACGACCTCGTAGAAGCCTTCCGATGCCTGCGGCGGCGACGCGTCTCGGTCTCGGCTGTCGTCCACGGGGCTTGTGTCGCTGCCGCTGCTTGTGGGACTCCGGCGCCTTTTCCTGGTCGATCTTTTCTTCTTCTGCTTCCCCTTATCCTTTTTCGACTTCTTCTTCTTCTTGTGCTCCTTCTGCTCCGTGCGACTCGTTCTGGAAGATGTCGGCCTTGAGGTCGCAGTTGCTGGAGAAGTAGCACCATCATCCCAAGATCCACGTGGGGAGTACAGGACCATGTCGCGGCAGGTCACCTTGTCTCCATGTGCTCGGTATAAAAACAACATCATCTGTTGATTCTCTACTGGTCTACTTCTACTATAGTTACGAAATTCTACTATAGTTACTACAGTTATTATGATTTGTGTTCCTGCCTCCTTGGAATCCTTTCTCCCCTTGGTCTCCTTCTCAAACAGCTCGGTCCTTGCATCGATGACGTTCTCCTGGTTGTGGCTGTACGGGCATGCTCCCCGATTGAAGTGGCTGGGGATCTCTTCGGACTCTTCGCTGGTATCAGTACCCGGTGGCGCCGTCTGGTCAGGGGGTGCCGTCTGCTCAGTGTGCTCAGGGGGTGCGGGCTGCTCAGGAGGTCCCGGCCGGTCAGGAGGAGGAGGAGGGGGCGGAGGCCGAAGTGGCAGACCAGGTGCAAAGCCCACAATGATCGGGTAGCCCATGGGAGGTATTGGGGGGAACTGGGGCATTGGGGGGACCGGGGTGAACCGAAACGCCGTTAACTCTTGCTGTCGCCATAGAGGAATCGGCGGGGGTTTCGCCGGCAGTTCCGGACGGCACTTCGAAGGGGGGGGGCGGGGGGGGCATTCGAAATGACGGCACTTCGAAGGGGGGGGCGGGGTGGGGGGCAGTTCAGATCCTCCATATCCTGGCGGTGGGTAGGGTGGCTCCTTTGGCTGTTTCGGAACGGGTCGCTGTTTGGGTGGGGGGGGATAGTTCGGCTCCTTTGGCACCTTTGGGGTGGCCTCGTCGGGTGGCTCTGTTGCCGAATCTGTTGCCTCTTTTGGAACGGGCCGCTGCTTCGGTGTCGGCGGGTGCTTCGGCTGCTCTTCTTCCGCCATGAGTGCCAATGTGACGATGTGCAACGAAGACGGACAATCAATCAGTGACAATGACATGGATGCAGTGACATGATCATGATGACGTGCCATGTGATGTGTGACTTGACAGAAGTCTCAGAGCTGTCACGGGCTTCGATGGCGTGCATGCATCACTGACACCCAGGCACAAGGCACTTCACAGCACATGCGGCACATGTCATGTCGGTGGCAACATTCGGAGACGATGCATATGAAGACATGCTTGGCTGGCTGCAGCCCGAGAAGCGTTCCATCATCGACATGTTGTCTTTCTCGGGCTCTGGTGGCATCGTCCGCATGGCCTGTCCTGCGGCAAACACGACAAAGCTTGATTTATGCAAACAAGGATATATCGAGCAGCATGCATGCATATTCAGACAGACCGCATATGCCATGAATCATGAGGAGAGTACCTGCTGGCAGCATGTGCAGCTTCGTCAAGACAAGAACAAGAACTCAAATCATTCCAGCCCAGCATCCGGCTCAGCAGCATAGAACACAATGGGCATGGGCGATGTGTAAATTGAACATTCGTGGTCCTGTCAGAAAAACAATGGCACAACATGCACACATGTCTCACAACCACACCCGTAACCGGCAACCGAAGGTAACCGTCTCCGCACTATGACAATAGAACTGCAGTAACAACAGCAACAACCAAGGGCCTGCTTATATTGTGAGCTCCCTGATCACTCAGCAGCATGGATGTCACAAACTCCGGCAGTGTAGCCATGCATGGCAACAGACTCGCACTCATCCTGACAATGTCTGCGAAAGCTTCCCCTGTGCGGATGTTGTCACGAAGTTCCTCCGTGATTGCATCGGTGCATCGACTGTGCCAGAACAATAGGCAGAATGAACATTGCTTTGGCATCTCTCCCGGAGGAGCCATGCTTCCAGAGCTTCTCTTACTGCCTGCAGTTCCCAGCTGACCGCACACAATGCACTTCTTTGCTTTCTTGCTCTTGGCCTCTTGCCAGGTGGACTCCATGCTG